TGATTTATAGAACCAGGGTCCCTCATGTATGGACAAGTTTTAAGATACTATTCCTAAAGTGCATGATGTGTTAGTATGAATCCTGTGGGTCCTGGCCACAAAGAAAGTAGTTATCTGTCAAGGGCACATAGACATCTGGGAACAAAGGAGTCATTCATGATATAAGGTCAGAACCAAGGGCTTACAGGACTGGGTTACATTTTTGGATCTCTATCGGTCTCTACCAGGTAGTAAGTATTGGGCACATTGCCCTATGAAGATTATTGAAACTTAGAATCGCCTGAGTTCTCATCAAGATTGAAATAATCCGTTCTTTTTCTGGGAGAGAGGGACACTAGCAATGTCACACATTGATTCGTGTAAGGTCAAGGTCCATGTATGTGCAAGTGGAAATGCCATCCGCTATAACTCCCTATGGTCTCATTTGATGCAACCTGCATGGCCCAGAGGTTTTATCATGGTAGGCGGGTGATGAATGGCATATCCAGCAGTGATTGAGGGTAGGGGCTGCTGTTAAGGATAACCTAATAAGGGTGTTAAGATTATGTTCTGACCTAACCTAACCTTATAAGGAAGAAACGAGTAAAAGGGCCATTAGTGGTGATGACAAGGGGTCTGTGGAAAATGAGAAGTGGAACAATTACAGGCAAGCAGATTAAAAAAACAAAACAGTAATTTGTTAGACAGATGTCTTGCTGTGAGGTATCGAGTGGAAGCTGTCATCTGTTTGTTCCGAAGGTCTTGGGTCACCTGTCTGCTTTTGAAGATCAGCTCAGAATCCTGTTTGAGGTCTTGGATTGGAGTAGCCTTCCAATTGTGTGGAATTCTGGATTTCTTTTTTAGTTGTGAAACATGAACCGGAGTGACTCCCTGGAGTTTCACTGCTCTATTTATTGCTAACAGCACCTGATAGGTTCCTTCCAATGAGATTTATGAGCAGTTATTCTCTGAGGTCTGTTCCAATAGAATCTACTAGTTGAAGATCATAAAAAAGCTCTTTAAAACATGTTTTCAGAAGGTGGCCTTAGTGAGTTGGTGATAGGACTGGATATATTATGTGAATCCCCGGTAATATTTTGCCATGTCTGCATGTAGCAGAGCAGTAACTAGTATTGGAAGTGAAATCCCTGGACACATGCATGAGTCTTCCACTTAGTAATTCACAGGGGAATAACTGAGTGAGTGGACTCCATGGCCATAAGGGCGAGAGGGAATATCTTTGGCCAAGGGAGCTTAAAGGTTTCCGAAAGTTTTGCTGATGTTAACGATGCCAGTGGTCCGTTCAACTTTTCTAGAAGATTGTGAGTGATAAAAGAGAGTGTTTATAATGGTTCCCATAAAGTGTGTGACATGATGACTTGATGTAGATGTAAACATTGGGATGATCCAGGGCTGGAAACAAAATCAATCAGCTTTTCAGTGACTATAAGAGCTGCAGCTTTTCAGCAAAGAAATGCTTTAACTCACTCTGCAAATGGACATACAATCCCTAAAATATATTCAAGTCCCATAGAGGGTAGAAGCTGGATAAAGTCCATATGAAGGTGTTCAAGGGGCCCTTGAGGAATGGCCACCACTTATCCAGGTCCCCTTGGTGATGTGTGCATGGTCCAAGCCACTCAGTCCCTATTTGTCCCCCACTGGCTTGGGACTGTCCAGTAGGGATCAGAGCTTCAGGAAGAGCCAGGTGGGAACCTTACCCACCCCCTCAACCTCACCCACCTCAGCCCCTGCAAGGCCCCCCAGGTATAAATATCTCAATATTTGCCCCCAGTGATCTTTTGCCCCCCTCTCCAAAGGCACTGCTAACCCTACTACCCACCCCTTAGGACAATCATCACTCTTCAAAGATTCTCCATCTGAGTGCCTGGGTGGCTCAGTCGTTGGGTGTCTGCCTTCGGCTCAGGTCATGATCCCAGGGTCCTGGGATCAAGCCCCACATCGGGCTCCCTGCTCCGCAGGAAGCTTGCTTCTCCCTCTCCCACTCCCCCTGCTTGTGTTCCCTCTCTCGCTGTGTCTCTATCAAATAAATAAATAAAAATCTTAAAAAAAAAAAGATTCTCCATCTGAGCCCCTTTCCTAGGCCATGAGTTCTTTACATCCTCAAATAGCCCCAGGGGCAGGTCTGCTCATGATCTCCATTTTACACAGCTGGAAACTGAACCTAGGGGGAGGCTGGGCAGCAAGTTTCTCTGTGACCTCCACTGAGAGGTGGGGATGGAGGAATCAATTCCAAGCCCATCCCTCCTTCTGGTCCCAACTACTTTACGGATCATAATCACCTCCTCCCTCTGTCCCTAGGGCACCCTGCAGACCCTCTCCTTCCCAGATGCTGATGGCTCCCATAAGACTTTGCTAAGGCCACCATAATACATTACTTCAGACTGGGTGGTTTAAGCAACAGAAATGTATTTTCTCATATGCTAGGTATCTGATATCAGGGTGTCAGCAGCACTGATTTCTCCTGAGACCTCTCTCCTTGGCTTGTAGGTGGGCATTTTCTTTCTCTGTCTTCACATGATCTTCCCTCTGTGTGTCTGTGTACTAATTTCCTCTTAATGACACTAGTCACACTGGATTAGTGTCCACAGTATCGCCTTTATTTTACCTTTTTAAAAACCCTATTTCCAAATGCAGTGACATTCTGAGGTACTGGAGATTATGATTTCAACATATGAATTTGGGAACATACAATTCAGCCCATAACTAACACATCTTTTCCCAGGGAGCTAACAGGGAGGAGTTCTCCTTAGGATGACCTCATTTAACAGTCCCCAAATCACAGCCCTGTAACTACAGCTCTGAGGCGCTCTGAGGTATCAACACAAGAGGAATGAAACATATCCATACAAAGAATCATAAATTTAAGAATCAAACAAATGTCTCTAACAACTGTTTGATAAAGCCCCAAACTAGAAACAACTCAAATATCTGAAAACAGATGAGTAAATAAACAAATAGTTGATAGAACATTACATTTCTTGACAACATTAAAAGAATGAACTAATTACACAGACCCACTGACAAATCTCAAAATAAATATACCAGATGAGAACACCCAGCGGGGAAAAAAAACTAAACATTTTATTTTCATTCGTGTAAAATTACATTAAATACATATGAATCTATTGTAGAAGAAAGTAAATCAATGTTTGCCTGGAGGGCAGAGAGAAGGAGATAATAATTAAAGGGCATGAGTGAATGTGGGGTGATGCATACGCATATTGTTACGATTTGTGATGATGGTTTCATGGGTTTATATGAATGTCAACACTCATCAAATGGTACAGTTTAAATATGGACAATTTATTATTTATTAACCATACCAAAAAGGCATTAACAGTATAATAAAAAAAAATTCTGTTTTCAAAAAACAAAGTCTGGCAAACCTGTATTGACCGCACCATATCCCTTGTAATGCCCTGGGATCAGCACCTTGCTTTGTTTGCAGCAAATACAGGTGAGCAATGAAAGCCATTTCCACCTGAGTCATTGGGAATGCAGGCTGCAAAAAGCCTGCATTTCTGCCTGAGATCTTCCTTCTATCTTTGTTTTCCTTCCTGTGCAACAAAGGCCTTACGGTGAACAATGCAGAGAAACTACAGGAATCCCTAAAACTGTTACATTCCTTTTCTTATAGAGAGAGCACACGTGAGAGAGTGTGAACGTGGTGGTGGTGGGGGGAGTGTATGCACAGGGAGAAGGAGAGAGGATCCCAAGCAGACTCCGCACTGAGGCTAGATCTGTATGCAGGGCTTGACCTCACAACCCTCAGATCATGACTTGAGTCAAAACCAAGAGTCGGACGCTTAACCAACTGAGCCACCCAGGCGCCCCCCCATTAGATTATTTTCTGACAAGGCCCTCAGCTACACAAGCTTCACAGTTCAGAAGGATCTGAGAATTTCTGTACTTGCTCATCCTTCACAGCCATACTGACTAGAACAATGGCAGGTGCCCTTTTATAAAAGAGCCACATTCCAACCAGTTTGTTGCAGTCTCTTGCCCTCTCTGTTAATCCTCCGTTTGTGTACAATTATGACTCCCCCCTATAATCTTTCAGCCAGTGACACCACCACACAGGTTTCTGGGCATTAGGGCATTTCTCCTTTCCAAGACCTGGGAACAGATTTCCTGCACCAGTGCTGAGCACAATGCAACATCCCCTGCAAATAAGAGAACAATTTTATGTTGTTCCCAGAAGTACCAGAGATTGTCACAACTGCCCCCTCTTCAAGGTGAGCGCTGACAGCACAAAACGTCCTGGCATCCAGGCTACAATTTAACCACAAAACCCTACATAATTTCCTTAGAGGCCTTGGGCAACAATGCAAACAAGGCCCAAACTAGAGACAGGACTACCATCCTTCTATCCCCCTGAAGCACACAAAGACTGGGGTGCCCATGCCAGCTATTTCTCCTGTCATTCTGAAACCACCCCGTAAAGTAAATCTAACCCTCAAGATAAAGATGACTTGCACAATAAGGCCTTTGTTATAGCACAAACCAGAATAACAGAGGAAGGCTGTTCCTCGGTTAGTGATTTGGAGGCTAGGAAATTCCATCACAAGAATTACCAGACCAATATCCCTAAAAAAGGTGACTTTTCAGGTCACAGGCAGAACTCAGATGGAGTCCTCTGGAACACAACGGGGTCATCCGTGCCCTACTAATCAGAGAGAAAAAAATGAGTACTCTGGCTTCTCACACTTACCCAGTGAATGGGAAAACACCAAGGTTTACTTCGCTGAACACATCAGAGCAGATAAATGATATACATATGGGCACCTGCAGGTGGGAGAGGTGAATGGCTGCTGCTACAGAATCAATAGTAATAAAAATTCACACGGGCCCAAGCTGAAACATGCAACACAGCTCCACATACCTGGAATTTATTTTGATGTTTGGATGTAAGAGGCGCAATTCAGGCAGATGGTACCCTCAAAAGAGATCTTCTCGAGTGTTGTTATACTGAACAAGGAAATACATTTGCTACATATCTAAGTTGTTTCTCCCATGTGAATTTTGTGGTAATCAATGAGGTAAGGGCTTCGGCTAATGGCTTTCTCATTCAAGATATTTATAATGCCCAATCCAGTATGAACTCTCTGGTGTCGAGTGAGGCCAGAGCTTTTACTAAAGGATTTCCCACACTGGTTACACTTATACGGCCTTTCCCCAGTGTGAACTCTCCGATGGTCACTGAAGTTGGAGCTTCGCCTAAAGGACTTCCCACACTCATTGCACTCATATGGCCTTTCTCCAGTGTGAACTCTCTGGTGTTTAAGGAGCGCAGAGCTTTGGCTAAAAGATTTTCCACATTTGCTGCACTCATAAGGCCTTTCTCCAGTGTGAACTCTCAGATGTAGAACGAGGCTGCAATTCTGGCTAAAAGATTTCCTACATTCACTGCACTCATAAGGCTTTGATCCTGTGTGGACTTTCTGGTGTTTTAAAAGACTGGAATTGTAGGTAAAGGATTTCCCACATTCACTGCACTCATAGGGCCGTTCTCCGGTGTGAACGGTATGGTGTTGCAGGAGCGCAGAACTTTGATTAAAGGACTTCCCACACTCACTGCACTCATAAGGCTTTTCTCCAGTGTGAATTCTCTGATGTTGAATGAGGTTGGATCTTTGACTGAAGGATTTGCCACATTCTCCACACTCAAATGGCCTTTCTCCAGTGTGAACTTTCCGATGGTTATTGAGGCTGTAGCTTTGGCTAAAAGATTTCCCACATTCACTGCACTCGTAAGGCCTTTCTCCAGTGTGAACTCTCCGATGTTGAAAGAGGTTGGAGCTCTGGCTAAAGGATTTTCCACACTCCCCACACTCATAAGGCCTTTCTCCTGTGTGAACTCTCTGATGTTTAATAAGGCTAGAGTTATGGCTAAAAGATTTCCCACATTCACTGCACATGTAACATCTCTCTCCAGGGCGGACTCTCTGGTGATGAACAAATGTGTGCTTGTGGCTGAAAGCTTCTGTGCTGTCTCCCCAGCGGTGTTGAGTTTTTCCCTTCTGGAAGGCCGCCCCACATTCAGTTGCATTGTTTGACTTCTCTCCAGTCTGTGTGGCCTGTTGCTGGAGGAATCCTGAGCTGGCCAAGAAATCCTTCCCAATCTCCCCACAGATAAAGGGCTTCCCTGACACTTGCAATCTGCAGCTCTTGACCACTGAAGCTCTGCTTACATTGTTACCGAAGGGCTTATCGCTCACATGCTGCTTCTGCTGCTGCTGAAGGTTTTCGCTGAAACAGAATCTTTTCCCATGTGTCCCACCAGTGTACACTTTCTGACTGAATTGTGTTTCCTGGTGCTCAGCCAAGTAAAAATTGTCTTTCAAGACTGGACCACACACCTCATAGGGGTTGGCCTTCTGGGGAAAAAGACCTGTCTTGGGAGCCCTGACATGTGACACTCCTACAGAAATGCTCTGCTCAGATGGTGCCTCCTCATCCTCTGCTCCATGCCAACAACCTGAAAGCAGGAAATGCTGGTGAAGTGCACGGTGACTTTTGTGGGTAGGCAGCCGCTACCCAAGCATGTCTAACAAACCCAGAAACGAGTGCATGAGACTGTTCATAGGATAAGAGGTTTGAGTTCAGGCTGAGGATGAGGCTGCTTAGCAGTGCTGGGCCGTTACTGCTCACAAAATGGAGGTTTAGGGGCACTCATGAGGTGAAATAAACACACTGAAGAGAGACAAGGTCTACACATAACTTTCAACAGGACCTAGTCTGCCATGCAGAAGGGTGTGTTCAGGCCCAGGAAAATTCAACAGTGAAAGAGAGCCTGGTGTTCAAGGACTGTTTAACAATCTGTGTTCACCTCACGACACAACACATAAGAGCCAAGGAGGACAGTACCCAACATGGAACAGTGACTAAAATGGTCAAGATGTGGAGTCCAGGGAGGTGCAGATTAGCCCTGGGCAGGAAGTAAGAGTACAAGTGATGAATAGCAGTTGACCAGTCACCCAAGTGTAAAGACGGGAAGGAAAGGCAGGTATGAAGTGTGGGGGCCACTGTCATTACCAACAAAAGACCAGTCGTGTGGAGTAAGTTTCTGGTATGATGTGTACACAGCTCTGAGATCATGCCACCCCCAGGTGTCACTGTTCAGAGCCAGGCTGTGAACCACAACAGACTCTCCACAACCCCGAGATGAGCAACTATGTGGCACCTGGATGATGCAAGTATAAATAAGGGAAAGACAGGAGGAGATAAGTGGACAGCACTGGCCAAGAACAGCTCAGCACATGCGGTGCACAGGAAAGAAAACTATTATAAAGAAAACTTCCAAGAAGGATCTTGCAAGAACAGACCATGGTCTACATTACAGTGATGGTCAGTGATGGCAATTTCTAGCACAAGAAGGAATGAGGAAATGTCAGCTAGAAAAAGAAAGTGGAACCTGGGATACTTGGGTGCTTTGTAACTGCAAATCGTCTGGCAGGGAGAGGGCAAGCAAAGTGGGATCCACTGGGCTGAATGGAACAGTCCTGACCCTGGCTCCCTCCCTGAGAGGCTAGGAGTAGCAGGTGTTGGGGCTGCTCAAGGAGAAGGCAGTGCACATACCTCAGCCAGCCAACCACACTGCCTATTTAAGGAAGTGGGGGAAGGAAGCAGAGGCCATGATCCTGATGGGAGAATAGATCTGCCCTTGGGGAAAAAGGGAAAGGGAGAGACTAGCTCAGGGTACAGAGGTGGGTGTGAGGACCTTACCCAGGGAGGTTATAAGCGCCAAGTTCTCCAGCATCACATCCTGGTACAGGTGTCTCTGAGCCTCATCAAGAAGATCCCATTCCTCCCAGGAGAAGGACACAGCAATGTCCTCAAAGGTCACAGTGCCCTGGCAAGATGGAGACAGATGAAACCATAAACAGCCTCTCCCTCATAGATGACAATCCATCTCCTCCACATCTACCCCTCACCCATCCTCCTCCTAAGCATCCAACACAGAAGAGAAACCAGGCCCTAGCACTGCTGGTGCCACTGTCTCCTCACAGGTCCATTGATCATGGGCAGCAGCCATCAGTAAGATGAGGCAGGTGGATAAAAAGGTATAAAACAAGGGTTTGGCACAGAGGCATTCACCCATTTCTGCTAAGCAATTCCCCTAATACGGACAAACCATGCAATTCCCAATCCCAGGGCCCTAGGGCATCAGGCATACTCCCTCTACAAGTACACATCATTCTTTAGATGGCATATCCCCCACATTGCAGACACTGCCACATGCCCATGGCTGCCACCACCTTATTGCCCTGCATACCTTAGGCAACTACTCTCTGGTCTTACAATTATATATGACTGTATTTCAATCACCTGCTCTTCACCCCACTGGTGAGGACGGGAATGGATTGTGTGCTAGAGTTATGGGGATGGCCAAACACAGAACACCTAACACTGGACAGATGAGACTGACAGCACTTTTCTAACCATATATATTCACAGTCTGAGAGAGGACACCACACACCACACAGGGCCACAGGGGGGTGGCACTCTGGGAAAGAGTGAACAGATGGTGGTTGTGAGATCCAAGATTTGTAATACCAATACAAAGAGGTACCCGTTTCCCTGGGAAGATGCCACTGACTTATGTCAGTAACTCCACGGGCAGGTAGGGAACTGAAACCAACTACAGGGGGATAAGCAGGAACTGCTCCTGATCCCCTTGATAAAAACATTGTTTGGTTATATCTTATTTCTGGGAGCAGAGTGGGGAGCAGAAGTAGCACTCTGGCCATTGGAGGCCCTCACGGTTTCCAAACATCAGTGCCACATGTAATGTTGGCTCTTAATTTTAGACCTTGCACCACAACCTGAATACAGCATCCACAGGATGCTCTGCAAATTCAAACAGGATTGAATACTGCTACTGACTTCCCAGGATGCCCACTAGCCGTCGCAGCCCCAAATCCACCTACGAAGCCTTCACTGCTTGGGTCTGTTCCTTGCCTCAGATGTATGGCTCTCAGATACCCATGGCCCTATTCCACAAGGTGCTGTGCTTGCTGTCCCCAAAGCAATCACAACCTTCCTCTGTCCACCTAACCCTCATCAAAGCCCAGCTCCATCAGTGGTCCACCCCAGGCCTTAGTGACTCTCACAAATGACCACATTTGCCCTTGACCTTATCCTCCTGCCTGAATGAAACAGCTCAGACCCCAACAAAGTCCTCAAAAAATCCTGGTGAGTGCACAGAGTGGTGAGTAAACACCCACTCCGGTCTGCGTGACACCTTGCCTCGGCTGTCCCCTCCCTCCGTGTCCACCTCATTCATGTCCACCCTTGCCTTGGAAGCCTTGGCCACCTGCCAGACTACCCCGTCCCTGACACACACTCCTTTCAGGGCCATGTACCTGCCTCATTTGTGTTTGTGAAGCCTCAACCCATCACCTAGGTACCCAGGCAAGAGACCCAGTCCACAGTCCCCATCCTCCCCTACCTGGCCCCTAATAGCTTTACAATCATAACCTGTTGATTACCCCTCCTAATCATGAACATCCTGAACACTCCATCCTGAACCTTCCCCAGATTCCCAGACCTATGTGTACAACCGCCTACATCATACATCCATTCATTGGTCTCTGAAACACCCCAGACTCTCAATATACCTAAATCAAAGCTCCTAACACCCCCACAGTGAGTATCACTACTACATTCTTCATCTCAGATAATGGACCTTCCACTCCTACAGCTGCTAAGACCTAAAACACTGGGGTCATCCCTGAGTCCTGTATTTCACTCCTTCTCCTGCATCAGAGAATCTAGTTGCCCACTGAAAATACGCATCCGGAATCCAACTACCTTTCCTAAGCCACAACTCTGGTCCATTAACTCTCACCTGGGCTTTGGCAGTAGCTGCAGCCTGATCTTCCTTCTGCCCGGTCTCACAGTCTGTTCTACACTCTGCAGCCAGACGGAGCCCGGTAAGACCTTAAGATCACTTTCTGCCTCCGATTCACACCTCCCCATCACCTCCAGAATACACGCCCAACTCCTCAGTCCTTCCAGTCCTGATTCCTGTCCGCCCCGCTTTGTTCCTACCTAAAAGGACACCTGTGGTTTTCTGAACACTCAGTTGTTACACCTCTAAGCATCTGCATACCTTGGAACCAGTTCCTAGTACATTGGTTGCCAGAAGTGGGAACTGTATCAAGCCTGTATCTGTATCAAGCCTTACATGGACTTAGGACCCTCTGCGCAGGATTTCCCCAGGGCCCCCAGACCCAGGCCTGGGGGAATGACACTTAAGAGCCCCAGGACACCAAAATCCAGAGAATATGTGCGTGGTGGCCAGGGCCAGGGAGGGCCTGAGACAGCCTCCACCAACCTAAGTTCCAGGGCACCTCTGCCGCAATGGGAAACTGTGCAGAGGCTGGCAATGGAGGAACGGGTCCATGGCAGGGTTCGCTGGGCTCATGTTACCCGTACCCTTCCCTGGCCCTGGAGTCAGGTGACTTCACGCTGGCTGTCTAACCGCTGTGCCTCAGTGCTGTGTCCCCTCTTGCCAACCGTGCCACCTGAACTAAGATCCAACCTCCCAAGGCCTCAATGTCCTCTTCATTGCCCTCCGGTCCGCTCTTCCTTTGAAGCGCCTTCGGAAAACTTTTAAATCCCAAACGGAGATCGTGTCCCTCCTCTGGGCAAAACTCTCCTTGGCGCCTAGTGTCCTCACCTGAAGGTACGGCACCTCGGCCCGCCAGTCCAGGCGCGACCCCGCCTCACGCTCTCTGTCCCCTGAGGGCAGCCTCCTCCCGCCTCACGCCCCCTCCAGCCTCTGCCCCGCCGGCCCCTCGGCCCGGAGCCCGCTCCTCACGCCAGCACGCCGGCGCTCGCACACGGGGCCCCCGCCCACCGCCGCCTCCCCGTCCGACACCGGGGCCTGGGCCGCAGGGACGCGAGCAGCCGCCCCGCGCTCGGGCCCTTAGGGTCTGGGTCGGGGGAGAGAGGAAGACGAGCGGTTTACCTGAGTCGGGTCCCGGGGCGCGGCCGCCGCCATCGGACACGGTGGGCGGAGCGGACACCCGGACCGGCGGTCCCCGTCTAGGCCCCCGGCGCGGGGTAGCCCGGGCGGCGTCGCCAGCCGCGGACCCAAGTGTGTGCGGCGGCGACACCGTCTTCCCTCGCGCCTTCTCGGTGAGTCACCCCGATCCTGAACCTGCGCTCCAGAACATTAGCAGATGAACAAGCATGAAAGAGGCAAAAAGACCGCCAGGGGGATGAGGCCGGAAGCTCCGCCCCGACGTTAGGGGCACACGCAGAAAGGACTCTTTTCTCTACCTTCATTGGTCAGAGATGCAGTCCATCGACGCGCGCTCTTCTGGGTAATGTAGTTCACAGACACACAGGACGCGCGTAAGACATTCCCATCGACCTCTGGGAGGAAAGGCCATGCCCCCTTAAGGGCTCTGGAGATTAGGGTCTTGCTTCCCAGGCCGGCGGGGCGGGGGGGGGGGCTTCTCTCCTTCTTAAAGGATCCGTACCCAGATTTCTGGGAAGTGGTGTCTGCAACTGATCACCCAAGTGTTTGTAGACATTATTTCAGACTCCTTGATGCTCAGCGTGGTCCCAAAGCTAAAACCATTTCATATGCTCCCAAAGGCACATATCATTCTATACAGTCATTTAGATACAAAATGTGTCCCTGGAAGCAGAACCTAGTAAACGTTATCATCCTACAAGTGAAATACACCCAGCAGCCTTAGAGACAGTTTTGTCAGTCTGTGTATGTTAGGTCAGAGACAAGGTAAAAATACTTCATATAGGGCCGTGACACAGAAGATATAGGATGAATGTGAGGCCACCCTAAAGCAAGCGTTTTTAAAAAATGCACCCATAGAAAACATCTCTCTAATCTGATCATTAATTTTTGTGTCCAATTCATTGAACAATACTTTTATCCATTTAATATCTTACTTCATATCCTGGCATAAACCCAGTTCCTTTTAGGAATCTAACATCCATCAATCAAAGAACAATGTAATAAATGTTGTTTTAGAAGGGGACAAAGGCTGCAGTGTTCAAAGATGGAGCATGTATGCAAAGGCTGCTCTCCTTTTCCAAGGAATTGGAGTACTTAAAACCATGATATCTCATTGTTTGGAAGTGATTACCATTTCTCTTGCAGGGACTGTTCTGCATGGGGAATTGGTATTACCTCAGAACTATAGCTGCAAAATGCAAATTACAGAAAGCTATTACCGGTGGCTATGTAGTGATTCAAAGGTGATGGCAGACAGAGATTTGAGGAAACATCAGTGGATGGGGAAAAAGTTAAGACCTCAGAGAAGATTTAGCAGTGATGTCCGAGAACAGGAATATTTAGGTTGAACGCATGACCAGAATGTACACTCTGATAGTTTTCTCCAAAATGATCTCTTTCTTCATTCTTGAAAACATTGTGCAGTATCAGTGGAGAAAAGAAACAATGTGACAGAGTAGACAGAATTATAAAAATACACAGAGAAGCTGAGGCTTACTGTATAGTGTTACCCTTTTAGAATTGAGTCTGCACATGTGTGTGTCATTCTGTCCGGGTCCTGAATTCAGATTTGTTTCTATAAAAGTTGTTTGTTGTGGTTAAAAGTGAAGACATGCTTTGTATACAGAGCTGCACTATGCTTTTCTCACTTAACTATATATCTCGGACATTCTAAAGCCACTTCCTCATTTTATATCCACACCTCCTTATATCCACACATATTAGACCTAAACCCAACTCTTTTTATTTTTTATTTTTTTTTAAGATTTTATTTATTTATTTGAGAGAGAGAGAATGGGAGATAGTGCGAGAGGGAAGAGGGTCAGAGGGAGAAGCAGACTCCCCGCTGAGCAGGGAGCCCGATGTGGGACTCGATCCCGGGACTCCAGGATCATGACCTGAGCCGAAGGCAGTCGCTTAACCAACTGAGCCACCAGGCGCACAAACCCAACTCTTTTAAAGACTGCTGTGCATTTCATTGTCCTCCTGCTCCGTGACTGGCCAGCTGGCCCAGCCTACGAATCTCTCCTATGTGCCCCCAAGGTCCTTCCTCCAAGCCCACAGAAAACTGTGGAGACTTCTGGGTTAGTCCCTTGTCCACCTGGCCACTCTCAGGGGTCTCCTGTACTGAGAATTGGGCCAGATATTAAAGGTACTAAGCCCAGGAGGCTGGTGACACAGACACAAGCCTTAGGTTCCAGATTCCTATGGTTGGGGTGCTGTTTGGTCTTGCTGCCCTCCTTAGAGTCCAGAAGGCAGAAGCAAGGGCCACATCATACTACCTATATCCTGTCCATAAGAGAGTGTAGCTGAATCAAAGGACAGTTCATCTGCCAGATGCATAGCAAGCCAATAAGACTGACACCCAGCTTCCAAGGTGAAAAAAAAAATCAGCTATTTATTGGTGTGGCACCACCCAGGAGAACAGGGAGCTAATGCTCAAAGTCCTGAACTCCCTGATGGGAGTAGGGGTCTCCAGAGAAGGTGGATGCTATAGATTGGGAGCCCATGAAGTCATGTTAACAGATGTTACATACTTCTGGTGCCCTTTCATCTGGTCCCACAGAGGTCTGTTCTATCTCACAAGACTTAAAATCTGAAAAATATATTAATTTCTTATGTTACAGGTTTCATTAGGTACATCTGGTGATTATGTGTTTAGGATAGTGCTGGTCAGCTGCTTGTATGTGCCTAAATTAACCACTTATACATACATAAGCTAACAGGGTTGCATTCCTTCATATTCCTTTGAATGATAAGCAAGTATTCCTATCTCTTGGGCCTGTGTCTGCATGTTCCATGGTCAGTTCAGCTGTGCATGGGGACAATATGACCTACAGTGTTCCTTCTTTCATCTGAACTAACAAGATGGATGCTGGCTTCAACAGGTCCCCAAGAATATCCCCCCACATGCAGGGGCACTGCCAGGTGCCACAGGTTGGGAGTTAGCCTCTAAAGTGAGAAGTGAGGATTCAGCCTCTGGAAGAGGAACATGGGATTCTGTGGATGATGTCACCTGTCTGCACCTGACCTCTGCTGGGAAAGAGTGGTGATCTCTGCTTCTGTGGTGAAGGGGACCTAAAGAGCCCAGACTGAGGCTATAGATCAGCCCTGTCCATGGAGATCTCCTCTCCCAAGGACTAAGCAGTGGGATTTCCTGTTGCCTTCATATCCCTTGGCTATGATCTCTATTGGCTCCACGTGCAGCTTGGGAAATGCCCTGAAAGGAGGATGGAAGGATGAGACCTCACCTTCCTTGCTTTCTCTCTGCCAGTCCTCTTGTTAAATTACATTTAGCTATTATACAACAATAATCAAGGAATTGCATATTGCTTTTTTTCCTACTCTCCTCTATTTTTTTCAATGCATCTACAAAACCAGGTCTCCAGGAGTTGGATCCATTTGTAAATTCCACTGGTAGCTTTTACCTTTAGTAATTGAGTGCAACACAGCTGCTGCTCTATACCATGCATAACCAGGTGGCCACCCAGGAAGCGGTTTCCTGACCTCTGCCCTTACATCTTTCATTTTCCCAAGCCACATGTTTCCATCAGCCAGGGCTATTCTCACAAATCCCACTTCTCTAGCGTCAAGGAACCACCTTGGGTACCTCTACAGAGTTTTCCATGGCCGTTGAGAAGGGATCTTGATAGGACCGAGGCGAGATCAGTAGGTAGGCCCAGCTTCCCCAGTGCAGCTGGCCAGCCATGGAGCATGCAGTGAAACGCAAGCAGTCTTTTATTTGTATATATATTTTAAAAGATTTTATTTATTTATTCGAGAGAGAGGGAGAGAGAGAGAGTGCACAAGCAGTCTGAAGGGCAGAGGGAGAAACAGACTTACTGCTAAGCTGGGAGCCCAACGTGGGGCTGGGTCCCAGGACCCCGGGATCATGACCTGAGCCGAAGGCAGATGCTTAATGACTGGGCCACCCAGGTGACCCGCAAGGAGTCTTTTAAAAGAGGCAGCTTCAGGGCGCCTGGGTGGCTCAGTCATTAAGCATCTGCCTTCGGCTCAGGTCATGATCCCAGGGTCCTGGGATCAAGCCCCGCATCGGGCTCCCTGCTCGGCAGGAGGCCTGCTTCTCCCTCTCCCACTTCCCCTGCCTGTGTTCCTGCTCTCGCTGTCTCTGTCTCTGTCAAATAAATAAATAAATAAAACCTTTAAAATATAAATAAAAGAGGCAGCTTCAGGTCTACTTAAGTGTGGCCTTTAGGAGGTAGCAGGTGTAAAAGGTTGAAGTAGCTTTAGGTTGTCCAAGATACATTGTTAAATGAGACAGCAAAGTACTGATCTGTATACAAAATATGACTTTATTTTTACTACAGAAATCAGCTTGTACAGGAACATGTTTTAACATATAGACACTCAGTGGAGTCCATGTGCACGAGCCATTCTAAAAGGATGCTATACTGCAAACTTTCTTTTTCTCCAGGAGATTTAACTATCTGAGACTTTTGACATACTACTTTATAACTGTATATGGGATAGGACTCCTTCAATAAAAGATAGAAAACATTTTATACTTTCATTTCTATTAGGAAAACAAATATGTACTGACTCAGTTTCTTGTTTTTCTCTTTGTTTTTGTTTTTGCCAACTTCAGTTTTAAAACTCTACAAATTTAGACAGAATATCTGTTAGTCACAAGAAATGCAGGTACATATTTCTGCACAACACAGCAGAAAATCGGTGGAAATTTCTTGAATAGGTATTAGAATCATGTGGAAGCTTGTTAAAACACAGACACTTGGGCCTGATCCACAAAGTGCCTGATTCAGTAGATCTGGGTTCAGGATTCAGAATGTGCTTTTCAAGAGTCCCTAGGTGACACTCTGGGTGAAGGTCCAGGGATGAAACTCTGAAAATCAGAATTCTAGGAAAGGTGACGTTGACTGGTTCCAGGCCTCACCCAGTCCACCTCAGTGGAGATTTGCAGGCTCTGAGAGACAGAGCCAGGATTTCTCACCCACATGCCCTGAGTGTATCTGTAGTAAGCCAAGTAAAGGAAAGGTCAACTGGCCTCGAGTCCCAGGCCGTCCACTGCTGAGACCCGTGAAGGCTGCACTGACTGAATAACCTAGATAACTGCTTTATTCTGCCCAGAACTTACTGCAAACATATCCACGAGGCTCATCCCTTACAATTTCAAGTGTTTTCTCCTCTTATTAGGGAGGCCTCCCTTATTGGGCTGAGTAATATTACATCCCATACTTTACCTCCCAGGAGACTCACCTTGTCTTCCCCTTCCACTTTGCTACATTCTAGCATAGTACATATTTCTTTAGTTACTCTTTTCTGTTCCTGGTCTTTCTTCCTTGAAAACAACACAAGTCCCAGAATGCAAGGGTCTTTGTCTATCTTAGGACCCAATGTCCTCCAGGTACCTACAAGAAGTGCCTAAAACCAAATTTTTGTTCACTGATCATCAATGAGACCAGGAATAAACATGACATCTCAATTTCCCTGTACATTTTACAATTCTGGGTACTCTAAATGTCCTCTTTAACTCTTTTTCCATGCAGGTATTGCTCAGACTTTACAAGAATGGAGATTTGCATTTTGGAGACAAAATTTCAGAACGACCAATCTGGTCACACGCTCATCTCAATCTGATGTGTTCTCAGCCATCACCGCTAAAACTCCTCTGAGGTCTTACATTTTCTCACCTTCTACAAGTGTGTCACCAGAGCTATTTCTGCCACCACCTACAAGCACTACATAAACATTGATAATAGCTTTGTAATTTGAATTTTACAACTGTTTTCCTGAGATTATATTAATTCTTCAAGCAAAACAGTCCCTGCAGCATCACGAGAGAAACGATAATCAGTTTGCTGCAGTGAAATAATGAATTTAAGATACTCCCAGTATCTCCAGGTAGAAAGAACCATTTACATACATGCTTCAACTTGGAACACTGCAGCCACTGTACCATACCAAAGTAGCATTTTTCTCATTATTGTCTTTTTAAGATTGATGTTATATTCCTAAAAGGAACTGAATGTAATCTGGATATCAAGTAAGACATATTAAATGGATAAAAGTGTTTCTCAGTGAATGGGACAGAATAGTTGACTCTACAGGCAGGAGAGATGTTTTATCCAGAATACACAGATCTGTTAGAGAAAAATTATTGGGGCACCTGGATGGCTCAGTCGGTTAGGCGTCTGCCTTTGGCTCAGGTCATGATCTCAGGGCCCTGGGATCCAGCCCCACATCGAGCTCCCAGCTCAGCGGGGAGTCAGCGCACACTCTCTCTCTGTCTCAAATAAATAAATAAAATCTTAAAAAGAAAATAAAAATTAAGACATTTGTTGAGACAGTCACGAAGCCTTTATTCAGGAGCATCCCCCCAGGTGCAGGGACAGTGGGAACTTGCAGTATGGGGAAGACACATTGGACTCAACTTCAGATTTTTTTAAAAGTTGGGCTTTATAGCCAAGGAACACGGTTGTTGGGGGGGGGGCAATGGATAGAAAATCACTAGGAGATTAGGGAAATTCCTCCTAAACTGACCTAAAAAATCCTTGCTGAAGGCAGGTCAGTATGATCAGAGATCACCTGTGTGATGGTGAGGGATTTGATCACATATCAGTGGTGATCAGATATTTGGGAGAAAATCTTGCCAAACCTACTTGGCAGAATTCTGGCACTTGCCCAGTACGGGGCCAGGTAAAAAAAAAAAAAAAGCCTATAGTGTCCTAACTAAAGACTAGTCAAGGAGCGACTCTGTCATATCTACCCTTGTACTTGTGATTCCAGGTGGCCCAACCTTCTTGATATGGCACAACCGGGAGTATTTTCTCTCTTGATCAAGTGAATTTAATGCTATGGAGTGAACGCATTAGAACTGAAATAAGATAATGTTTATTAGCCCTCACCAGGCGTGGACACACTTTGCGACTGAAAGACGCTACCGAATGATGTTTATTTGGTTTGTAGCCTTTGGGAGCATCAAAAATATTATTGGCGTTCGGGGGCAGGCTTAGCTTCCCTGGGTCTGAAATAGGTCTCCAAACACTTGGGTGATGAGCGTTAGAGAGGATTAGGCAGAAATATGGTCACGTTCTGTCAAATATGAAGCGAAGCCGAACAGCATCGGCCTTTTCCCTTCGCCCTTTTCAGCGGAGCCTGGAGCTTCCATGAAGGATGAATCTGACTCCGGGCTTCATAACTGCGCGGACTACGTTACCCAGAATGCGAAGAGTCGAGCGGCAGCATTGCTCTCCAATGAAAGCGACAAAGAGGCTCTTCCGTTCGTGGCCCGCACAGTGCGGGCGGGACTTCCGGCTGTCGCCACAGCTCGGCAAAATTAGCTAGCTGATCTGGGTTTGCTCACCTGGAAAAAGGTTCGGGAGTTATCATCCATACAGAGTTAACGCGACCGAGAAGAGGCGAGAGGAGGCGCTGACCCTGCTGTACGGTTGCGGGTCCGCAGCTCGGCGACGCCACCCGGGTTACCGGGGCCGGGACGGGGACCGCGGGTCCGGGTGTCCGCTCCGCCCACCGAGTCCGATGGCGGCCGTCGCGCCCGGGCACCGGGCTGAGGTAAGCGCTCGTCCCCCGGGCCCTCCCCGCCCTCTCCCCACCCAGACCCTAAAGGCCGAGCGCGGGGCGCCTGCTCCCGTCCCTGCGGCCCCGGCCCCGGCGTGCGGGGCCCGGTGTGTGAGCGCCGGCCTGCTGGCGTGCGGGAGCGGGCTCCAGTTGCGGGGCACGTCCTCAGGGACGATACTGAGCCCTGAGGCACAGAGCTTGAACTGCCAGCCCGCCGAGTCAGTCTTCAGGGCCGGGCGAGGATCCCGGGGGCTTTGAGTCCGTGGAACCCGCCGTGGTCTTGTTGGCCGAAGGCTGGGCCGGACTCGCCCCATTTCCCGCCGCTGCAGAAGCGCTCACGGAGCCAACACGAACGAGTCGGAGGTGGCCCAGCCCCTCACCGGCCCTGACCTGACCCCCACCCGCTTGTCTCCTGCGTTGTTGTGTCCTGGGACTCTGAAGTGCCATTTCCCAAGTTTTGGGTCTGGAGACCGTGGAGAAACCCCAGGCCCGTGCCAAGCGTTCTCTGAAGGGGTTTCCGTTTCTGGCAACCAGTGTGTGCACGGTTATTCCGGGAACTCGTAGCAGGTGTGCACATGCCCGAGTTAACACTCAGCTGGCACTGTTCGGGAAACCACCGTTCTCTTTTCTTGCGGGTGGGAGCGAGGAGCAGAGAGACAGCAGGCAGGACTGGAATGGCTGCCTGGGAAGTTGGGTGTGTCTCCTGGTGGTAATGGGAGGCTTGGATATGAGCAGCTACGTGATGTTACCAAGGTCCTGACGGGATCCATCCTGCTGTGGCGTGAAGTAAAGATACGGGCCGAGGGCGGAGGCAGGAAGACCAGGGTGGAGGCTGCCGTCATAGTCGAGGTGAGGGTTCTTGGACCAGAGTGCTGGCTTAGATGTCATTGGATTCTGGGTATGTGTTCTCAAAAAGTGACCACTGATTTTCTAATGTGGGCTGAGACACGGTGAGAGGGAGGATTCGGGGCTATCTCTAGGGTTTTAGTTCTTAGCAGCTGTAGGAACAGAAGCTCCATCGACTGAGATGAGGAAGTCGGTAGTGTGAGTGATGTTGGCGGGAGATGTTCCGGAGAGCACCGACTGGATGCATTAAGTGAGCAGTCGAACGCACGAGTCTGGAAATCTGGGGAGGGGTTCAGAAGGGAGACATCTGAACACGTCATGGCTACCGTGTGGGCCCAGGTGAGTGAGCTGTAGGTCACAGTTGTGAGGAACAGTCTCTGGTTATGGTGGTAAAGCTGGGCGTGGGGCCAGACAGCGGTGGGAGGAAGGGGGACCGGGACCGGATACGTAGGTGATGGTGTGACTTCAGAGATGAGGGACGTGGGTGGCCACAGAGGGAGAGTGCGTCGGGGACAGGATACTCGGGCGGGTGGCCAGGGTTTCCAGCGGAAGCGTAGACATGAGAGGGACCCAGAAGTTTAGGAGTACTTAAGGCAAGATGATGACACTCGGGCCCGTGATGGTGGTGCTCCTCCACTCTGAACTGCACCAGGGTTTTGTGAAGACCTTCATCCTGGAGGAGTAAGGTCATGTGTGCCGTGCTGATGTGATCACCTGTGAGAGACACTGAGCCTGGGGTAGGCCACCAAGGAGCCTTGCTTTGAATGACGGTCAGGGGGACAGAGGAAGACTGTGATGCTGAGGGGACAAGTGCAGCACAGGTGGGGGAGACCCTCGTCTGGTGAAAGGTGGGGACCTCACGGCCCGAGTGTGAGATCCCCTCCCACTCTTCTGCTGCTGGGAAGGTCTCCTGCTCAAACTACCTTTTCATCAAAGGTGCATTTCCTGCTTTTCCCTTTGTACGGGTTTCAGCGCCCTGCCAGCCCACGGAGTTACACATCCTCTTACAGGAACCGGGAGGCACCTCACCCTCTTGATGCTGTGAAGCGTGCATCCTACAGCTCCTGGTTGTTCACCTTTTTCCAGAGTGCCACCCCCATGTGGGCCTGTGTGGGGTGTGGTGTCCTCCTCTCCCAGGCTGTGAATATCTGTGATTACTGAAGTGCTATCCATCTCATCTGTCCAGTGTTAGGTGTTCTGTGTTTGGCCGTCCCCATAACCCTAAGATGGGACTCCCGCCCTCCCCAGTGGGGTGAAGCGGAGGTGATGAAAATACCCGTAACGTGTGGGGAGGCCAGGGAGATTTCTGTGGTGTGGGGCAGTGAGGTGTGGTGACCATAGGCATGTGGCTGTGGGACCCAGTCTCAAGAATGATGTGTCCTTGGAGAGGGAGTATGCCTGAGTGACGCCAGGGCCCTGGTTTTCAGCGGAATAACCTGGATGGCCAGGAAGATCCCTCTATGCCAGGTCCACAACTTAGATATATATACTTGTCCACCTGCCTCTTCTTGTGTCAGCGGGACCCTGCGATCGGTGGGCCACGAGGAGACAGGGGTGCCACGGCACCCAGGCACTGGGGCCTGGTTTCTCCTCTCGGTTGGGGAGATCAGGGGGAGGATGGGCATAGGGTAGATGTGGGCGGGAAAAGGGATTTGGGTTCTTGGGAGAGGGGCTTTTTGTGGTTTCATCTGTCCCCATCCTGCCAGGGCAGGGTGACCTTTGAAGACGTGGCCGTGTACTTCTCCTGGGAGGAATGGGGTCTCCTTGATGAGGCTCAGAGATGTCTGTACCAGGATGTGATGCTGGAGAACTTGGCACTTATAACCTCCTTGGGTAAGACCCTCCACCCCCAGCCCTGTGCCCTGAGCTAGTCTCTGCCCTTCCCTTTGTCCCCAGGAGCAGTCTGTCTTTACATAGGGACCATGAGCACTGCTTCCTTCCCCAGTTCCCGGGGTAGGTGCTGTGGTTGGTAAGGCTGAGGTCAGTGCACTGCCCTCCTTCCTTGAGCGGCCCCGACACCAGCTTTCCTGCTGACTTTCAGGGAAGGAATCAGGGTCAGGAGTCTTGCAGTGAACCTAATGGATAGCCCCTTACCTGCCCTGCCCTCTCCCTGACTGGGTGACTTTGTCTCGATGCAAGATACCTGCGTGCTCCACGTCTGCTTCCTTCCTCTACTGAGGCTTCCTTGTGCCTCCCTGCGCCAGGACTTGCTGTCTGTGACAAAGTTACTACATCCGTGGACCGTGGGCTGTTCTCATGAGACCCTCTTCCAGACCTCTCTGGGAACTGTTTAGTTCCCTTTGCCATGGGCTGTCATGTGCTGAGTCGTTCTGGGATACCGATGGCTACTCATCTGTCCTCTCTTTTCCTTAGCACTTGTATCATGAAGTTGCCATGCACTTGCTGACTGTGGGAGTGGGGCTGGATTGGAGAGCCCAGGGTGGTTCACAGTAGGTACGTTGACCCACACACAACACGACGGCTCAGAGGAAGCCAGGCCCCGCAAAGTGGTACCTGGAGGAAGATGGTGTCCGTGCTGTGTTCAGATCAGACCGGAAGCCTGTTCTGTTTGACTGGTATTATGATGCCAGGGGCCACATTTCATTTCTGTCTTCTCTTCCCCTTTCTTGGCACTCTGCCGATTTGTCAACTCTGTTACTTGTCGCTTCTGCTCTTACTTCTGGCCTGGGGTTAACCTCACGTTTCTGGGATCCACATCTCCCTCGTTTTTCTCACCACTCCACCTGCAGTGCTTTGCACATTGGCTGCTGTATAGTACGTCATGAGGTGTGCCCGTGTTCTTTTTTTTTTTTAAAGATTTTATTTATTTGACAGAGAAAGAGTGAGAGAAGGAACACAAGCAGGGGGAGTGGGAGAGGGAGAAGCAGGCTTCCCTCTGAGCAGGGAGCCCAATGCGGGGCTCGATCCCAGGACCCTGGGATCATGACCTGAGCCGAAGGCAGACGCTTAACGTCTGAGCCACCCAGGCGCCCCAAGGGTGCCCGTGTTCTTAAGCAGCCCTGAACACCACCTGCCAGGTTACAGTCCTATTTCCCTGGGTCTTGTCACACCTGTCTGTGTGGAAAAGGTGTGTCCATAGGAGATAAGTTCCTTTGGAAAGTTGTTTGCAGAGGAATGAATTGCAGACCATTTCTCTTCTCCGTGTCACGCCACGTGCTTGCATCCTTCCCCTCATGAGGCCTCTCCCATTCTGTGCTCCTTGTAGCCTGCTACTGCCAAGCAGCCCCATCCTCCACCTGAGCCATCTCCCTGGTCCTGCAAACAGTCCCAAGCACTGGTTCCTGGGGTTCTTAGACACACATCTGTAGCTCATAGAGTAGCTGCCTCCTCCCACCAGAGGCAGCATGCACTTCACCAGCATTTCTTGCTTTCAGGTTGTAGGCATGGTGCGGAGGATGAGGAGGCACCTGAGCGGAAGGTTTCCGTACAAGGCGTGTCCCAGGTCAGGACTTTCAAGGCAGTTGTGTCTCCCCAGAAGGCCCATCCTCGTGAGGTGTGTGGCCAGGACTTGAGAGACATTTTGCTCTCCACCGAGCACCAGGCAACACTTTGTGGACAGAATCTCTACAAGATTGAGGCATGTGAGAAACAGTTGTGTTTTGAGGCAAACCTTCAGCACCAGAAGGAGCACATTGGAGAGAAATGCTTCAGAAGCAACACGGGCAGAGCTTCTTTTGTGAAGGACTACAAATTGTGTGTGTCAGGGAAACCCTTTTCCTGTGGGGTGGTTGAGAGGGACATCTTGGCCACCTCGAGATTCTTCCAGCAGCCGGCCACACACAGCAGGGAGAAGTCATACAGGACGACGGAGTATGGGGCACCCTCTCGTGGAAGGAAGGCGCAACGCAACTGGGGAGAAGGCACAAAGGACTTCACTTGCAAACACACACTTGTTCACCACCAGAGAGACCTCGCTAGAGAGAGATGCTTCATGTGCAGTGAATGTGGGAAATCTTTTAGCAAAAGCTACAGCCTCAATGACCACTGGAGAGTGCACACTGGGGAAAAGCCTTATGAGTGTGGGGAATGTGGGAAGTCCTTCAGGCAGAGCTCTAGCCTCATTCAGCACCGGAGAGTTCACACTGGAGCAAGGCCTCACGAGTGTGACGAATGTGGCAAATTGTTTAGTAACAAGTCTAACCTCATTAAACATCGGAGAATTCACACTGGGGAACGGCCGTATGAGTGTAGTGAATGTGGGAAGTCCTTCAGCGAAAGCTCTGCGCTCCTCCAACACCGCAGTGTTCACACTGGAGAAAGGCCTTATGAGTGCAGTGAATGTGGGAAATTCTTTACCTACCACTCCAGTCTCATAAAACACCAGAGAGTTCACTCGGGATCGAGGCCCTATGAGTGCAGTGAATGTGGAAAATCCTTTACTCAAAACTCCAGCCTCATCGAACACCGTAGAGTTCATAGTGGAGAAAGGCCTTATAAGTGCAGCGAATGTGAGAAATCTTTTAGCCAAAGCTCCGCGCTGCTTCAACATCGGAGAGTTCACACTGGAGAAAGGCCTTATGAGTGCAGCGAATGTGGGAAATTCTTTACTTACAGTTCCAGTCTCCTCAAACACCAGAGAGTACATACTGGATCAAGGCCTTATGAGTGCAGTGAATGTGGGAAATCCTTTACTCAAAACTCCAGTCTCATTAAACACAGGAGAATTCACACTGGAGAAAGACCTTACGAGTGCAGCGAATGTGGGAAATCCTTTAGCCACAGTTCTAGCCTCATTAAGCACCGAAAAGTGCACACTGGAGAAAGGCTTTAGGAGGACAGTGACTTTGGGAAACGTTCACCTCTGTCTTCCATTTCAGTGCCCATTCAAATATTCACACTGAAAACGGCTTTATGAGTATTGGAACGTGGGATATTCTTTACCTATGAGTCCAAGCTCCTAAAACACCACAGTGTCTCCTTAGATGAAGGCCTATGAATGTGAAGAATGTGGGAAATGGCTAACCAAAGGCTAGCCTCATTGCTCTCCAGAGAACTCACGGTAGTGAAAGGCCTTACAGATGCCGTGA